TAATAATAGTAATAGTAATAGCAATAGTAATAGTAATAGTAGTAGTAATAGATATAGTAATAGTATTAGTAATAGTAATAGTAATAGTACTAGTAATAGCAATAGTAATAGTAATACTAATACTAATAGTAATAGTGATAGTAATAGTACTTTTAATAGTATTAGTAATAGTGATAGTAATAGTATTAGTAATAGTACTAGTAATAGTAATAATAGTAGTACTAGTAATAGTAATAGTACTAGTAATAGTAATAGTAATAGAAATAGTAATAGTAATAGTAATAGTAATAGTAATAGTAATAGTAATAATAATAGTAATAGTAATAGTAGTTCAGAAATATGAGATGCACATATGGGGAGCTCCACGCAGTGAGATTTTTTTCGGGCGGCGGCTTGGACTGCGGTCTGAGCAAAGAGCAGAGCACTGAAAGCACGTCCAAGAAAAGCCTCTGACGTGGCTCAGAAGAAGGCCACCGTGGCGTTAGCTTAGCACCCGATTCTGAAACGCTGAGCGAGTCCTCAGCTAACCTGCGCGAAGGGAACTGCGACCGACAAAGCGCTGAGGCGCTGACTTGAAAAGTCGTTGAAGGCTTCCTCAACGAAAGGCTGAGCTCGCCTCCTCTTCCCTGAAATGCTGAGATCGCCTCCATCCTCCTCCCCCATCCTCCTCCTCCTCCTCCTCCTACATCGAAACTACATCGAAACTACATCGAAACAACATCGAAACTACATCGAAACTACATCGAAGCAACATCGAAACTACATCGAAACTACATCGAAACTACATCGAACCTACATGTAGTTTCGATGTAAACTACATCGAAACTACATCGAAACTACATGTAGTTCCGATGTAAACTACATCGAAACTACATCGAAACTACATGCATATAAACTTAAACTTTCATCGAACCAGCTCAAAAAAAAACAAAATACAAAGCAGGCGGAGGTCAAACTTTACAAAGGGTGCGTCCCCTCCTTCCTCCGTCCTCCTCCTCCCTCCTCAGCCTCCTCCTCCCGTCCTCCTCCCTCCCTCCTCCCTCCTCCTCTCTCCCCCTTCCTGCCTCCTCCTTCTCCTCTTCATCCTCCGCCGTCGCTCCCTTCCAAAACCCCTGCCCCCCCCGCCTTCGTCGTCCCCTTTGCGAGCCCACTCTTTAAAAGCCTTGATGGGCCTGAGGGGGTGGGCCGTCTCTGAGGCGCTCCAATTTGTCAAAGCGTAGTTAGAATTTTTAGCATTAGAATTAGATTTTAGAAGAATTAGTTAGAAAAGAAGACAAGAAAAGAAGTGAGGACGAAGAAAAACGTTTAGAATAGAATAGAAGAAAGAATAGATAGAATAGAAGAGATAGATAGAAGTCAATCGGCCGCTGTCGGCCTCTCATCGCCCTCTTGAGCCCGATGCGCGGCACGCTCCCGCTTTTGCCTGGCCGCTGCGCTGACTGGGGGGCGCTTGGACGCTGTTCGCTCGCCGCGTTATTGTGGGGGGGTGGTCGTACTGACCCTTGTTGATGCCGTTGGTTGGAATTGTTGGAAACTCCTGCTTGCCACGATGGAGGGCCGCGCGAGCTCTGGGCGTGATCGTTCTGGGGACTGTTCGCAGGAGCTTCTAGGAGGTTGCTTGGGCCGTCTCGAGTGCTGAAGTTTTGATTGATCGCCCCCCCGACCGACAGCTGCGCTGACGTCACTGGAGTGGCCGTCCGCTGAAAGAAGTTCCTCGCGTACTTCGCTGAGTACTGGAAGAGCTGGCGGGACGCGTAGCTGGCGTCCCGTTGCGGGTCCCAGCTCTCGACGGCCTGAAGCTGCCACTGCTGCTGTAGCCCGGCCACCTCCTCCCCCTCACTCTCCTCCCCCTCCTCCTCCTCCTCCTCTTCCTCCCCCTCCTCTTCCTCCTCCTCCCCCCCCGTTCCCCTTTTCCTAGCTTACTTAGCCCTACGTATACCAATGTGTTCCTACAGATTCCTAGCTTGTTCGACCGACTCTTACCTTTTTCCATGGCAATTCCAATATAGTTATGCCTACCTACTCCTAGTATTGCCAAAAGACAAATTTTACCAGACACCTAAATATTCCCTCGCCCTTCCTCCTTCCTTTTCTAGTATGTATTCATTCCGATCCTTCCGCGTCCTAGCTTACTGCCTTGTTTTCCTTCATAATCTTTTTGCCATCCCTAGTATTCTGTACTTCCCCCTGCCGTTTCCTACGCACCTTTTTAGCGCCCCCACCCCCTTGCCCCCCTCCCCCCCCCTCCCCTCCCCCCCTGCTTATTTCCGACATATTCGTACGATAACCAGTTCCTTCCTCTTCCTACACTCCTACTTATTTATCTATTCCTAGCGAAAGGATTGTCTAGCCCCCCCTCCCCCCCCCCCCCCCCCCCCCCCCCCCCCATCAATTCCCCATCAATTCCCAGGTATTCCTACATATTCCTGCCGATTCTTGTTGTTCATCCCAGTCACACCTATTCCTGCATATTCCTGCCTACTCTAACTATTCCTAAATATTCCTATTCTTGCCTATTCTAGCTTTTCCTATTCCTAGCTATTCTTATTCCTGCCTATTCTAGCTATTCGTATTCCTAGCTTTACATATGTCTAGCTATTCCGAATTCTAGCTATTCCTATTCATATTCCTGCCTATTCTAGCTATTCCTATTCCTGCCTATTCCTGCCCATTCCTGACTCTTGCCACCCATTCCTGCCTACTCTACCTATTCCTACGTATTCCTACCTATTCCTGCCGATTCGAGCTATAGCTCCCAGTCCCACCTATTCCTGCCTATTCCTGCCTATTCTACCTATTCCTACCTATTCCTATTACTGCATATTCTAGCTATTCCTATTCCTAGATATTCCTATCCCTGCCTATTCTAGCTATTCGGATTCCTAGCTTGTCCTATTTCTAGCTACGCTTCCCTATTCCTAGCTATTATTATTCTTATTCCTGCCTATTTTATATATTCCTCTCTTGCCTAATTATTCCTGCCTATCCCTAGCTGTCCGTACCGATTCCTGCTCCGATCTCTAGATATTCTTACACGTTTCTACCTAGCCCGGCCTTATTCCTCGATCACTCCAAGGCTTGTCGGAGGCTTGGCATTTTCGGACTTCCCGTGCTCGGCCCCTGGGCCGCCTCCCCGAGGACCACCGGGGCCGGTCTTGCTGGTCTCCCGTCTCCTCATACTCAGCCCCTCCGCCTCCCTCCTCCTCCTCTCATCCTCCTCGCATCCTATCGCCGCGCCGCTCCTCCCCCTTCTCCTCCTCCCCACTCCCCCCCCCCCCCCCCCCCCCCCCCCCCCCCCCCCCCCCCCCCCCCCCCCCCCCCCTTCCCCCTCCCCCCCCCCCCCCCCCCCCCCTCCTGCCACCCCCCCCCCCCCACCCCCCCCCCTCCTCCTCCTCCCCCTCCCCCCCCTCCTCCGCCGCCTCCTCCTGTTCCTCCTCCTCGGCCTGACGCATCTGCCTGCTGCACTCGTACGGGCTGAACTCTAGACACATGAGCCTGACCTCGACGAAGCTCAGCCGCTGCGCGATCCCGCTGAGGGTCCAAGCCTCGTCGCTGAGGCGCCCCAGGAGCTGGTGCAGCACCCTGAGCGCGACCGCGAGGATAATCACCTGGACCGCGCTGAGGAAGAGCTCCGCCTGAGACCTCTGGACGGCCCAGGCGAAGAGCACGGCGACCGAGGCGCTGAGGGCGCTGACGGCGCTGGCGTCGGCCATCGCTGCAGAGGGCTGGAGGCCGAGGGGCTGGAGGGTGAGACCCTGAGACCCTGAGGGTTAGCCTGACAGCCTGAACGCTGCGGACGCGAGAAGCCTGAGAATCCGTCTGCTACGAACGCAGACGAGTCTCGGGTCGGGCGAAAGGGGGGGATAGCAAAGGGGGGGTTTGAGAATCAGCTCACGTAGCTGATTTTCTCGGCGCCTCCCGGCGCCGGAGGCGGCCATGTATCGAGGAATGGGCCCCTCGGTGAGGCCGAAACCAGCTGCATGCAGCAAATTCCGTAACCCCCCCTTTCCCAATCCCCCCCTTTCGCCCGGCCCGAGAGTCTGCGTGCCGACGCAAGCAAACCGCCTGAAACACTCTCGCAATCTGGCTTCCGTGTGGTTCGGAAACAAACGCTTCGCCAGAGACATCCTCAAGAACTGCTCTGACACATCCTATGGGAAATCTTGTGGGTGAGTTCTATGGGGGGGTCCTATGAGGGAGTTCTATGGAGGAGTCCTATGGGGGAATCCCACGGGGGAGTCCTATGGGGGGGGGGTCCGATGGGGAAGGCCTATGGGGAAGTCCTAGGGGAGAGGTCCTATGGGGGAGTCCTGGGGGGGAGTCTTCTGAGTGAGTCCTATGGGGGCGTCCTACGGGGGGGGCCCCCCGCGGCGATGAAGCACACGCGTCGCTTGAGACATCCTCGCAATGTGGGCCCGCACTTCCCTCCCTCCCTCCCTCTCTCCGATCTTCTCAAAGACTGCGAGGTGCCAGGATAACGCCTCCAGGGTGCTGGATGCGGTATACTTTCGCCGGAGAGGGGGGGGGGGGGGGGGGGGGGGGGTTTCTTAATTGCTTCCTGCGGTTATGATCCTGAAGGGCAGGCGCGCGAACGTCGGCAAGCCGCTCCTGTCCACATCGGCCACCGCCGCCAAGGGCCACTTCACGTGGGTCGGCGATTTCGGCGGCTACATCCTGACGGAGAGCGAGTTCGCGCAGAAGATCCACCAGATGATCGACCAGTACGTGGCCGAGGGCAACGAGGGCATGGTGCCGCTGTACCTGCAGAACGGAGTCTACAGGATGGGCGTGCTGATGGGCCAACCTGCCGGTGCCGCTTCGTCGGGGTCGGCTTCTGTTGCCGATCTCTGTCTATTGGCGCCGGCGAGCGAGGGCCCTCATCGGCAGGCAACGGTCCCGCGGGAGGCGCGAGCGCCTCGGGGCCGCCGGAATCGCCGGCAGCGGGGCCGCCCGTAAGACCACCAGCAGCGGTGCTAGGGGGTAGAGATCCCGCTCCCCAGCCAGCTGAAGTACGAGAAGGGATCGGAGACGACGAAGACTATGACGGTAATCCCCAGGAGTTTGCGCCAGCGAAAGTGCAGGGACGAAAGCGACTACCTACTCGAGCTGAGGCTGATCAACGCGAGGCTACAGGTCACGCGGCATGTCGAGATTGGTGCGAGGTTTGTTGCGCAGGTCGAGGGCTTGGCCAACCTCATGAGCTACAAGCTGAAGCTCGTGAAGGTGCAGATCCGGCTGTGGCCATCGACTTTGCGCTCATGGGCGAGGACCGGCGAGGAGGACCAGGACCAGGAGGACAACTTCCCGATGCTGGTGGCCAGAGATTCCCAGACGAAGCTGCCCTACTCGACAGCGATCCCGGGCAAGAAGGTCACCATCTTCATGATCAAGATTCTGATGAGCTTCATCCTGCACCTCGGCTACCGCAGGCTGATCTTCCAGAGCGACGGGGGGCCCGCGATGGTGGCGCTCAAGACGGTTGTCGCGGCGGCGACGCCGACGGTGGAGTTCCTGCCTCGAGAATCGCCGGCAAGAGAGCGCCAGAGCAACGGAGGCATCGAGGTTGCCGTGCGAGAGGTCAAGAGGCAGGTTAGGGCGAATAGGTACGCGTTGGAGGCCAAGCTCGGCGGGGAGGTGGATGATGACCACCCGATCTTGAAGTGGCTGCCCCAGTACGCCGCGGCCTGCATTGGCCGGTCTCGACGCGGAACCGACGGCCTCACTGGAGAGCAGCGGCGCTCAGACCGCGACTGGAAGAAGCTGGAAGCAGAGTTCGGCGAGCGGGCGACGCACAGGCCGCTCGCGCCAGGAGGTCGCCGGAGCACCGTGGAGGAGCGCATGAAGTCCTGGAACTTCCTGGGCTACCACATGCGGACGGGGGCCCTGCTCGCCATGACGGTTGACGGCGTGGAGAAGGCCCAAGGTTTCAAGAAATTGCCGAAGGAGCAGGCCTGGGACGGAAAGGACTGGGCAGCTCTTCGAGGAGTTCCCTGGGCGACTCGCCCGGAGGAGGAGGCGCCCGCTTGGGCGAGAGCGCCGGTGGTGGCCACCGTTCGGATGGAGCCACGAGCCCCGCGAGCGAGGTACGTCCTGCGCCGCGACACCGAGAAGCACGGTGCCACTGCGGGCCGTCCAGGATGCCTGGAGCTGACGCAGAAGGGCAAGATCGCGAAATCCCACAGCGACGAGTGCCGCGACAGGATCGCAGAGCTGATGATGTGTAATGATGAAGATCGAGCACGAGTTACCGAACACCACTTTCGAGCTGGAGAGCAAGCAGCACGCGGTCGAGGTGTTCGAGGTCGAGAAGCAGCTGGAGGAGACCAAGCTGCCCTACCGCCGCCCGCTGGAGACGGCGATCGAGCTCCTGCCCCAGAGCCGAGGGACACCGAGATGGCGGCGGTGCCGGCTGGAGGCGGTGGAAGCGAACCGAGCGCTGCCAGGATGCGCCGAGAAGACGCGCCCGACCCTGGACGAGCTACCCGGGCACGAGGCGATGCGAGAGGAAGCTCAGCACCTGCAACTGCTGAAGCTCGGCTCGCGCTCAAGCGAGCGGCGCCCCAGGATGGGGCGCAGATGAACGTGGAGGACCTGGTCGACACAGCGATGTCCCAGGCAGCGTCATCAAGTTCAGCATCGGCATCGGCTCCGAGACCGAGCGGGGCTCTAGATGGATCGATGGACGTCGACTTCCTGGAGCGGATCGACTGCTGCGACAAAGGCCGCACGTTTGTCATGATCAACGAGTTGGCAGTGTTCGAGATGCGGACGAACGCCAACATGAACGACGCAGAGCAGGCGGAGGATATCGCGTCACTTCTTACAGAGATGTTCGCAGTGGACACTGCGGAGGTTTATTCGCCGAGAAGGCTTGCGGAGATGACGTTTCGGTATGGTCTCACGCACGGCCCGGCAGTGGATGTCGAGACTGGTTGGGGCCTGTGATTGCCCGAGCAAGGAAAGGAGTGCAATAATCAGCTGAAGGGCGAAGACCCGCTGCTGACGATCACCAGCCCCCCGTGCACACCACTCAGCAACTTGCGGACGCTCTCGGACTCAAAGCGAGACCCGAAGATCGTGGAGGCGGAGATCCTGGAAGGCGAGACGCACCTCAATTTCAGCATGAAGATCGGCAAGGAGCGCTACAAGGCAGGGAAGCTATTTATTCACGAAGCACCTTGGTCAGCGAGCAGCTGGTACCGCCTAAGCGTTCAGGAGGTCATGCAGTTGGCGTATTCTTAGTCCATGGACCGATGTGCCGCTGGCGCATGCAGGCGACCGTCTCCAACGGAAAGTTGGGCTTCGTTCGGAAGGAGACTGGGTGGCTCACTAACGGCGAGCTGCTCGCCGAGATCCTCGAAGGCTACTGCCGGCGCCCCAGGGGTCCGAACGGAGAACTCGCTCGCCATGTTCATTTGGTTGACGGACGCGCCAAACATGCACCACGATACCCTGCGAGCTTGGTTGCAGCTATTCTCAAAGGCCTACGAGAGGAGCATCGACTACGTGAAGGGCTTAACCTACTTGCAGCTCTTTGTGGAGGACCCTCTTTGTGGAGGACCACACCCACATGAAGAAGATGCTGAGGTGTTTGCTGAGTACCAGGACGACTACTTCATCGACGATCTCACGGGCGAGATTTTGGACTCCGAGGGTGTGCGAGCCGCGAGGCAAGAAGGATTGGATTGGTGCCGCGGGAGGCAGGTATGGACGCGAGATGCTCGAGAACGGCAAGAAGGCAGTGTCCCTGAAGTGGATCGACACGAACAAGGGCGACCGAATTCAACCGCGGTATCGCTCGAGGCTGGTCGCGAGGGAGATTAAGAAAGCTATGAGGTCCGAAGGTCGACCAGACCAAGCTGTATTATTCTCGGCCATGCCACCGCTGGAAGCGTTCAGGCGATGGTGACCATCTTCGTTGGCCGCGTGAATGACGCCTACCACGACGGCGACGCAGAGGAGATCATTTACAAGTTTTACGGCATCTCGAGGGCGCATTTCTATGGAGATGTGAATCGCGAAGTGTACGTGGAGTTACCCGAGGAGGAGACCTACGACGACCCGGAACCCATGGTGGGCAGGCTACTCAAGACAATGCATGGCACAGTGGATGCAAGTCATGTGTGGCAAGACGACTACATCGGCCTGACAAGCTCGCACGGCTTCGAGAAGGGCGTCTCGAACCCAACGCTGCTGTGCCACGCCGAGCGTCATCTGCAAGCGGAGGTCCACGGCGACGACTTTGGTGTGATTATGCGCAAGTCCCAGGAGGGGTGGTTCGATGACGTGCTTTCGCGCTACGACTTTAAGGTCACGGGCATACGGAGCAGCAGGCCCCTGAAGGAACAGAGTGTGGTCTATCTCCACCAGGTGTTGATCTGGAACCCCTTCGAGCGCTCGGCCTACCTCGAAGCGGACGCCCGGCGCGTGAAGAAGGTGATCAGGGACCTGGGCGTGGAGAATGCGAAGGAGGTGACTACCCCGGCTGTTAAGAGGTCCGTCGCGGAGATCCTGAGTGGTAACCAGACCTCGCCGAAGCTGGGCGACGAGAAGGTGGAGACCTACCGCAGCGTGACTATGCGAATCATGCACGCGAGTCTGGACCGACCCGACATCAGCTACAGCGCGAGCATGCAGGCTAGACGCATGAAGGAGCCGAAGGAGACCCACATGGAGGATTTGAAGCGCATCGGCCGCTACTTGAAGAAGTACCCCGCTGGAAGGTTGCTGTTTCCCGCTCAGAGGCTGCCTAGAAAGGTTAGTATTTACTGCGACAGCGACTACGCGGGTGATCCGATTACGAGGCGTTCCCGAAGTGGAATGGCCATTCTATAGGGAACGCATCTGCTGAAACATGGCAGCACGGTCCAATCCACGGTGAGTTTGAGCAGCGGCGAGGCCGAGTACTATGCACTACTGCGTGGAGCCTGCCTCAGTTTTGGAGTACAGTTCACTTTGGCCGACCTCGGAGTCGAGGTGGACTACGGGATGGAGCTTTACATGTTCAGCGATAGCTCAGCCGCGAGAGGAATTGGAAGCCGACAGGGACTAGGAGCTGTTCGACACTTGGATGTTCGATTTCTTTGGCTGCAGGAGCGTATCCAGAGTAAAGGGTTGTTGCTGCAATCGGTCGCTGGGCACTGGGACCCGGCGGACCTGTTCACGAAGGCCCTCGGCCAAGACACGATGGAACGGTTGATGCAGCTGATCTGCTCCCCGATGAAGTTCGACGGTAGCGTGAGGCACCGCGTGCTGTGATGCGTGGCGCCGGCTGTTTGCCGGCGCGCGTCTCGTGAAAAATAATCGAGGCGCTGGTTTCGTTTTGGGTTTTCACCCTCCGCCCCCGCCCGGCCGCGGCGACGAAGGCCGAGGAGGGGTGTTCGGATGTCTAGGGCCAGCGCCCTGTACCGGACATTCCATGGAACTTAAGTGAGTTTCGGGTTTGATCTAGAAGTGGAGTCTAAGAAGAGAGAGAGAGAGAGAGAGAGAGAGAGAGAGAGAGAGAGATGTGAGGTGGGGGGGGGGGGGGGTGAGAGAGAGGGGATCGGAGAGGATTCTCAGGGCACGGATGTATTCCTGAGATAATGAGGAGAGAGAAGAGAGATGACGAGAGTGAGTGAAGTGAGAGAGAGAGAGGAACGGGAGAGACGGAGAGAGAGGAGAAGGACGAGAAAGAATAGAGACGAGGAGCTGACGAGAGAGAGAGAGAGAGAGAGAGAGAGAGAGAGAAAGAAAGAGAGAGAGAGAGAGAGAGACCAGTGGTGGCCCAGAGCTCCGTCTGTAATCCATCGTGGTTCAAAAGATAGAAAGACCCTTGGAGCCTTTTGGGAGTCCCTTTGGGGCCTCTTGGGGCCTCCTGGGCCTTTCGGGGCCGAGGGCTCGAAATGTCTGTTGGGCCCCTTCGTCTTGGCACTCGTTCGAGCCGTCTTGGGGGCCTTTCGGGCTGTCTTGGAGCCGTCTTGGGCCGTCTTTGGGCCCGCGTGGGCCGATTCGGGACCCTCTTGGGGTGATCTCGGGAGTTTTTTTTGGGCAGTTTTGGAGTGTCGGGAGGCAGAAAAGGCGAGAACGCCGAACATTCTTTCAAAACTATAGGTCCGTCAGTCAATGAATTGTGCCTCTTGGGGCTCCCTTGGGAGTGTTCCTCCATGCCTTTCGGGGCGTCTTGCAGGCTTCTGGGGCCGTCACTTTAAACGGAGAAGGTTAAAGGCGAGGTATATATCGAGCATGCACCTCTGCCGCGCCTGGCTCAAGCCGGGCCCGGCCAAATATATGACTGTGCCTCACCGAGGCGCGCGACTTGTATCTGAGATCGGAAAATACCTTTTCCATTGGAGATGCCCCTTCTATCCTTTACTCCAGATCCCATGCTTCGTCTCGCTCTCTTGCTCATGCGATATGAGCCAAAGCCTGGGATATGGCAACGCTTGAAGCGTAACGCATACCTAAGCTTACCAGCACGTTTTCGACTTGGTAGCGGAGCTGGCTACACTCTCGTGTGGCTGGCTCTCGCTCTGATTCCTGTAATCCACGGCACAACTTGGTGGACTACTACTACGGTGGAATACCATGTTGCGCCGGCTCTGCGAGGAGCGGAGCCAGTCCGCGACCGAGCTAGCGGGGCAACCCGCGAGCTCGAGACGCTCTCTCCTACTTCACTGCGCTACTTCACTCTTGACTTCCACCAGATGCCAATCGGCAACTCGATCGAGAACGTGGTCACCCTGCGGGGCTACCCGCAGCGGGGCCACCTGCATCCCGTGCCAGTCAGGCGCCTCACGGCTACTATGCCAGAGCCTGACAAACCACAGCCTAAACCAATCACCGAAGCCGAAATGCACATGCACTGGATTAAGATAACTATCTTCGGCATTCTATGGGTAATAATGGGATGTGCTGTGGGATACATGCGGCAGGGGATGGACGACACGCGTACTACCGGCCCTTCGTGGGACCCTGCCGGTACTATGCCTTTTCGCGAATACGTTCGTGAAGTACATGCATGGATAAACGTAACGAGCGGCAATATGACGCCACCTCAACAACCTGCAGCACTACAACGAGGCCTTCAAGGTCTTGCTCGTCGTATCGCCATGCAGGTCCCCTCCCAGATCATCAACTATGGTGTAACTGTCAACGGACAGCCAACGGATGCAGTTACTTATATACTGTACCTATTGAGCACCAAATTTGAAAATCTGGAGGATGAGCGCCAGCTCAACTCTGGCACTGCCCTTATCGACTTTCGCGTCGAAAGGGGCGAGCGAATCGACTCAGTGTTAGCTCGATTCGAGATGGCCCGTGACGAGGCTAACTCTGTTGGCTTTGTCATCCCCAACTTTTCAGATCCTAACGCTGATCCTTTTCAGAGCGTTAGGCGTTGGCGCGTCACGAGCCCAACACCTGCTGGAGCCCTTTAATCATCAGATGCCCAGAACACAAGCAGACTATGACAGGCTGCTGACCAGGATGAGGAACTACGGACATGTTGCCGAGCGCTCTCCTGGCAACATTGCGGGTATCTTCACTGGGCACCACTCACATGCAGGTGTCTACGCCACGACTGCGGGGTCACCCGCTGGTCCTGGCGAGCCAAGTCCCTGGGCTGACCCAGCCGATATGCCCAACGAGGCCACTGCCTTCGTAGGGCAGACCGGCCAGGCATCGGCAGAGGCAGCTGAGGCGAACGCCTGGTCGAACTACTCGCCAGGCGCCGCCTACACTGCAAGCCCGCCCTCGGGCACTACCCTCTGGGGCCAAGCGGAGTCATCCGCTCAAGGGTCTCAGCCACCCTCACCGTTTGAATCTGGCACTGACACAGATACCTCATCTGACGATGAGCACAATGGCATAGTCTCTGCTGGTAATGACTATCCAGCGGACGACACTCACCTTTCTGAACAACAAAGAGCGGAAGCCGCTTTTATGGCTTATCGCAAATCAAAACGCCGTTGGAGGCGCTTTATGAAGAAACCAGTCAGAAAAGTGAGACGTGCAGCACGCCGACATTTCAAACGATATGGAAAGGGTCGTGGCAAAGGGGGTCGCAGACGCCGTATGCATGGTAGGGGTATTACTGCTTTCCTCACGTCCTTAACTGATATAGTTTTTGAAGAAGTTCTTATCGGAGGCAAAGGTCGGGGTCGCAGGCGGACCTCTGGTAAGGGAAAAGGGCGGAGGGGCAACCCTAGGGACGCTTCTGGCAATACTATGAAGTGTCATACATGCGGTAGTACAGAGCATTTGCGCGATCAATGCCCGAAAGGGAAAGGAAAGGGATCCGTACATTTGGCTCAAAACTCTTTTATGGATGACATAGACTACATTGACTACGAGTTTTACGTCAATCCAGAAGCGGCTCCCGCCGCGGGCTCCTCCACGTATTACGTGATGGCCCGCTACGCTGAAGTGACCGTAGCCCTGGAAGACTACGCGGTGACCCTCTTCGACGAGTTCCACGGCTGGGACGAAGTCGACGAGGTCGCGTTCAATGCCTGGTTCGGTCTTCCAGCGGGGCCACCCGCCGACGACGAGATCTCCGAAGCTGAGACCGTCCCGGCGACCGAGGAGGAGCTCGCCGCCGCGCTGGCACCGCAGGTGATTGGCACGCCGTTGCTGCCAGATCTTCCGCGAGCTGGCTCGGAAGCGGGAGACGCTGATGACGAAATGCGGGGCCATCCCGCGTATTCTGACTCCGAAGAGGCCGAAGAGGACTATAAGGACATGCTCCAAGAGCAGGTCGCAGAAGCAATCCGGCTCCTGAGTGCGCCAGCACATCAGCAGATAACCATGAACGACCTGCTGTCGCGCCCAGGGGCCGCAAGGCTGCGTCCATACCTGGATTCGGACATGTCGGCACCTCAGATGCTGACAGCACTCCAGGCTCTAGCGGGGTCACCCGCCGAAGTGACGCCAGCCGCAGCAGCGGGGCCACCCGCTTGGTCTATGGATGTATTCATGCAGGGCTGCGACCAGATGGACCTCAACGACCTCACTATGGAGCAGCTAAACGACATCGGGTACTTCCGAAGCCCGTATCAGCACGTATTCATGGTCCAGGACAGCTCAGAGGACTCGGAGGACATGCGCCATGCCAAGAGGGACAGGCGACCATCGCCTCCCCGAGACTCAGAGCATGACGATCAAAGGCCCATGGAACGTGGCAGTGCGTCAGCGGGGCCAGCCCGCAGGAGGAGCCGTTCAGCTCCCCGACGCCCTACACATGATGCATCGGGCTACCCGTACAGTACGGAGCACTCCGTCGGTGTATCCGCTCAGTACGTGCCGGAGTGGTACATCAATTGGTACCCCGGCTACTCGATGGACGTGATCCGCCACTGGTATTCTAAGGAGTACTGCACCAAAAGGGACGAATCCGGCATGATAATACGCACCAAGGGTGGCAAGACCAAAACGCCAGAGGCTTGGGACAAAAGGGCTAAGAAACAGGAGATCATCAACGATCGCAAGACATACAGGAAACAAGTATGTCAATGCGAGCCCTTCAAAGGTCACATGCGCAGCTGTCCAATGGACCGCCCCTCCAGGAGCCCTCATCACGGTGAGACCCCGTGGAATTGGTCTCAGGGAGATGACGCTGGCAACGTCCATGATCCTAACAAGGAGGTCCCTGGAGGAGGAAAGCGCATCACTGAAGCCGATCGCGTCCCTATGACCGAGGAGGTTGCCAACGCTGTCAGGGAAAATTGGGTACAGCTTCCCAATGACCATCGCCTCAAGGAATGGAACCGCCGATTCCATAAAGAGGCGGGGTCACCCGCAGAATCCAGCAAAGAAGCGGGGTCACCCGCAGTCGCGGCGCCAGCCGCTGGGTCCGCGGACGAAGATTGGATAGCTGTTGCATCTGCTGCCGGATCCGCCGCCGGTACTGACCAAACCGAACTGAATGAAGAATGGGCGGCGGAAGACGGCTCAGAGAATCCATTCCCTGATGGGTGCGCCTGCTGGTACTACAGCTCCTCGGCACAGAAGTGGTTTTGCACAAGGGTTATTCACCGCCACGAAAATGGCAAATACAAGCTGGCCATAAAAGGCACTGCCGACATCGACCAGATGAGGCAGATCCTCCCTGATCATGGCCAGCCAGAAGGCCCTCCTAAGGACCCTCCTGGTCCACAACCAGGTAAGGGCAGCAGACCACCTCCAAGACCTGAAGCCGACTCCTCGTCTTCACCGACTCCTGCGAAGAGGCACCCGTCCAAGAGCCCCGAAGACACACAGGGGC